GTATAAAATCATGAGCTGGGCTCATTATATTAACAGAAACTTCAAAACTGAGCCACCTACCTGCAATACAAACCTAGCCAATTTGAGAGCGGCAGCACTCTCCCCTTGACAAGCAAAATCGACTGGTATATAAGCAGGGGCGTAGGAAGCACCTGGAGTTTGGGGGGGCACCGGCTTGTAGGGGCACATTGTAATACGGAGCCGCATTGGGGACATGGGGTAGATTTTTTTTTGTACGATCCCTTTTTTTTTTGGTGCAAGATTTTTTTTTTGTGGTGCAAGATTTTTTTTTGTGGTGCAAGATATATTTTTTTTCGGGTGCAAGATATTTTTTCGGGTGCAAGATTTTTTTTTCGGGTGCAAGATTTTTTTTCGTGGTGCAAGATTTTTTTTTTCGGGTGCAAGATTTTTTTTCGGGTGCAAGATTTTTTTTCGGGTGCAAGATTTTTTAGTGTCATATCACGCGAATTCGATCGGCAGATAAAGGTTTACCTATTATGTGAGAATCATGAGAGGTTTTTGTCTTATAATACTTCCATTTCTCTTCTGCTGTACAGTAGCCGTTTTGGATTCATATCTTGCATTGGAGGGGAATGTAGTAAATGACAGAGATAGCATTATTGAGAATTATTTTAATGCTGGTTACAAGTATTGTGAAATCCTTGCATTTCTTATTGCGTATCATGGAATAAATATATCGCTTCGACAGTTGAAAAGAATTTTAAACACGAAGGGCCTTCGGAGAAGAAAACATCCAAGTGATCTCGAAGACGTCATAAACGTAATTGAGAGGGAAATTCAAGGAAGTGGCTCATGCATCGGCTACCGTGCAATGTGGCAAAGATTAAGAACGGATTATAAATTGATCGTAAGTCAACACACCGTGCGACTGGCTTTAAAATTGATTGATCCCGATGGTGTTACCCGGCGCAGAAAACACCGACTGCAACGAAGGCGCTACAAAGCGAGGGGACCAAACCATCTGTGGCACTTGGACGGTTATGACAAACTGAAACCGTTTGGGTTTTGCATCCATGGATGTATAGACGGCTACAGCCGACGTATTATGTGGCTAGAAGTTGGTACAACAAACAACGACCCACGTGTTATTGCAAAGTATTTTATAGATTGTGTGAGGCAAGTCCAAGGAACGGCGTCGATAGTGAGAGCTGATCGAGGGACAGAGAACGTTAAGGTTGCAGGAATCCAGCGATTTCTTAGACGCAACGATACAGATTCGTTTTCGGGAAATAGCAGTTTCATGTATGGGAAGTCTGTGTCAAACCAACGAATCGAGGCATGGTGGTCTCAGCTACGTAAAGGATGCACTGAATGGTGGATTAATTACTTCAAAGACCTGAGAGATAGAGGATTGTACTGTGACGCCGATATAATAAATGTAGAATGTTTGAAGTTCTGTTATATGCCCGTGATACAAGATGAACTTCAAAGAGTTGCTAGATTATGGAACTCTCATCGTATTCGCCCCTCTACCAACCAGGATTCTCCACCAGGTAAACCAGACATGTTATATTACTTATCGACAACAATAGAGGATGCTGAAGAATGTAAACATGCTGTTGACACAACTGAACTTGATATTGCTGAAGAGTTGTGCTGTTTCGATATTTCGAATACAGAATCTTATGTGCAGTTTACACACCTAGCTACAATGATAATGAATGAGCAAGGATTAAATCACCCACGTTCACCTGAAATGGCTGAAGATTTATATATGCGTTTGCTGACAGAGATCGAAGATATCTTATCATAACTGTTGTACATTGTGAAATAGTCAAGGTCGTGACATTTTTGAACAATTATTCTTTAAGGTGGCTGCATACAGTTTCTTGAAAAGTGGAAAAGACACATTTCCGACAAAAGCTTTTGTACATTGATATTTTTATAGAAGAATGAAACCAATGTTTTATATAGAACAGTATTTTGAGAATCAGAAACTGTACTGTGAACGGAAAAGTCAGTAACTGTGGTTACTATTGCAACAATAACGTTTCGAAATGGCTGCTAATTTGCATTTGGACTAGTTTAATTCGAAAACAACGTTGGTGACCCCCAATTTTTATTATATTAAAAGTTTTCTTCTAGTATGAGTAATCATTAGGACAATTTTTGAAAATTCTGTAGATCCGAAATTTTTTAAATTGAAAAAAAAAACGTGTTCTGACAAAAAGATTTTGGATCTACAGAATTTTTAAACAAATGTACTTTTGATTGCTCACGCTATAAATAAAATTTTAATAAAATAAAAATTGGGGTTTGTCAGTTTTGAATTAAACTAGTTCAAATGCAAACTAGCAGCCATTTTGAAACGTCATTGTTGCCATAGTAACCGCAGTTACGGACTTTTCCGTTACAGTTTCTGATTCTCAAAATACTGTTCTATGTAAGTTATCTGATATATGTCTTTTCCACATTTCAAGAAAATGTATATAGCCACCTTAATGTAAATTTACATTTTGTTACGTTCTAACAGGATTCTAACTATCATGGTTTAAACCAGCCTGGACCTAGGCCTTTTATTTTTAATATTCGGCGCTATTTCACATGAGAAGACTGGAAATAGTTACCAAATGCTAGCCCGAAATTGACCAAAATCTGCCAAAGTAAGCCGAGTGAAGGCCTAGGTCTAGGCTAGGTTTAATCCAAGTTGTATAACAGTGACGAACAGTTGCGACAGTGGTGAACTGTGACTACTGGCTATGCAGTGACGCGTTAATGTTGTGTTAAAGCTTTTAAAAAGTTCCTTCAGAATAAAGATATTATTCGCGGGGTTGCCTAAGTTTTAACTATAATTATATAAAGCCTGTTTTCTCTTTAGCCTAACTGTCGTGACCATAACATCTGGGAGATTTAGTCTGTGTGTTGTCACCTCGAAAACTGCCCATATAAAGTATTTTAACGGGAACTAACAATTTCGAACACGCTGAGTTCAAATCCAAAAAGTCCGAAAAGAAAGAAATTATTATTAAAATAAATTTTGGGGGTCACCGATGTCGCTTACGATTTAAATCACTTTAAATCCAAAATATCCGCCATCTTGAAACGTTATTGTTGCCATATCAACTGCAGTTGCGAGCCACCTTAGAATTATGCAACGTGCAAAAATATATGGGGAAGGGGGAATGCTTAGACCCCAAATCAACATGAAATTTTACAAGGGGGCTCAGTGCCTTCCAAGTTTACAGAACAGATTTTAAACTTTGGAAATGATCTTTGTCTTTGATGCGAACCGTATATTCTTATATAGTTTAAGGTTATCTTTAAAAGGGGGGGGGGGACTTACTGTAAAGATTCAGTCTTGTCGTAACTAGTAAGTCTTCTAGAGCCCTGGGCTGGGCAAACTGGGAAACATTGTTGCGGAAACATTTGTGATTCTCGTTGTTTCCTCTAATGTTTGCCCACCCGTGGAAACATTGTTGCGGAAACAAAATTTGCTTCCCGGGAAGCAAAAATGTTCCCTACGAAATCGGGAAACATTTGATGTTTCCCTATGTTTCTCACCAATGTTTCCTAGCGTTTGCCCAATCTGGGAAACATGACGAAACATTGCCGTTACAGTTCCCGTAAAAAATTTCAGATCGAAGACATGCTAAATGAAATTGAACGATATCGGGACACAGCGAAAGGCCTAATCGATTCACATACAGTAAATAAAAGCGAGATAGATCCAAATATTTAAGTTTAGTTCACACGATGAACGTGCCTTTTAGTCTATTGGACATAGCGCAACGTATTGGTTGACTGAATAAATATATAGGTGCCTTCATAAAAAAATCAAAATTTGTTTATAGTTTACATCGACGTTTGTCTGGATATCGCAATTCGAATATTTATAGGCACTGTAAAGAAAAGGTGTGCGGAAAATTTCTCTTCTTGAGTGGTTTTTCTGATATGCTCTGATTCTTGGATTTGTCCCTGATAATTCACGAAGTTGTCAAAGAAAACGTCATATCAGAAAAATTTTCCACACACGGTTTTTACTTTTGATTTTTAATGGGATACCTATATATTTCTTTAGTCAGCCAATATACTAGACATGTTTAAACAGAACACCCATAAAATGAAGATTTTCGAGATTTTTTTGGCTTTCTTCACTAAAAATTTGATGAAGTTACACCTAAATTTCGTTGCACCATGTTCAATAGACTAAAACGCACGTTCATCATGTTAAGTAACCTTAAAGGGTATTAGTAATAAAGGTTTGCACGGGAGCTTCGGATGGAGAAGGCTCCAGCTTTTTGGATGTTTTGTTTGTACTTTTCAGGTAGTTGAATCCCTCTCCTTCAGAACGACAGAAACGTCCTGAAAGCAAAAAGGTGAATTTTGAAGTTTCCACTGCTTTAATTCGCATGTATTTTATGAAACTAAAATTAACAGAACGGTTCAGTTTATTGTAACATAATAACGACCACTTCAACAACGCTTAGTTTTAATTGTATTTTTTTTTGAACTCATATATATGTAGACGTTTTAGCAGTGCACTGTGCTTAACAATTTAGACGTCCAAAGGAGCAATTACAAACATGCAAATATTCTAAAAATAAATCAGTGTTCAACATGCACTACATTTATGTTTTTAAGTATTTAACTTGAACTTTTCCGGAAGGTTGTCCTTATGTTTTGTTGCCGCGATCGTTAGTATTTGGTGATCATAACTAGAAACGGAACGAAATTGTGACAGTTCACCCCTATAAGTGTACGTACGATACATGAATATATCTATATAGACTTAGTATTATACTTAATAAACACAGTAAATCTATAACGGCAAACTTCGATATACTACTGTGTTGTATCGGTAATATTCTAGCATGTCTCTCAATAAATGTCAACTTTAAAAACTGAATGTCAATTTTATGTTCATCGTTAGTTAAAAACTGTTCACTGTTGAACACTGACTGAAAGAAATGGTTTATTTCGACTGGATATCTCCAGTATTCAGCATATTATAACTTAAAGGCCGAGTTTATGCAAGTTTTGTTTTACGAACGTCGGATATTGGCATAAAACTAAAACCAACCATGGCTGCCATATATTTTCCAAATGAGTGAGAGAAAACTTTGAAATTTATTTCTTGAAATATTATTTTTTTAGCTCCATCAAATTCCATACGAAAAACATGTAGATTATCCAAACATGTACATATAGAAAAAACAAAAATAAAAAAATCAACAAAATGTCCATTCAAAATTTTCGCTAACTCATTAGGAAAATATATTGGGATCACTTTAATTAAGGCTTGGTTACTAAGCACTGCACTATTTGGGATCACTTTAAGGCTTGGTTACTAAGCACTGCACTATATATGTGCTATGGACCACTGAACGTTACCTTTATCTATTAGTATATGTAGTAGAGGTGTGCAAATCCGATCCGAATCCGATCGGATTCGTTCGGATTTCGGAACAAAAATATACATATCGGATTGATAAATTTGTTTTGTAGTCGGATTGGATCGGACTTCGATATTCGAAATAAAATGAATTAATTATCCACGCATTATGGCAAGAATTAATTATCCATGCATTTATCAAAGCATTATCGCGGTTGTCGCTGCCATTTTTCGTTTGATACTTCAATTGGGCGTCAATTTGTCAGCTTCTTGACATGTATTTCTTGTTTTTATATTGATTTGGTTAAACATTTCAACTTGAATGAAAAATTTATTTTGTTAAAGGATTCTTCGGATCGGATCGGATTTCTTTATCGCAACTCGGATCAGATTAGACAATTTCGGATCGGATTTTAAACATTAGCCAATTGTCTGATTATAAACGTCCAATCCGATCCGATGCACACCTCTCATATATAGGGTGTATAAAAAAAAGGTAATTGAACTTCAGCGCGCTATTATGCGTGAATTACTTGGCGTATGAACAATTGGTTTTCATATTCGGAAAGATCAGGCTTTTAGCTATTGAACGAAACGCTTTTTAAACCAAGTGGAGAAAAAATAAGTATGTAACTGTAAGAGGCCGATCAAAAATGGTAGTCAAAATCGCATATTTTCCCCTCTGCGCATAA